GCATACAAACATGTTTAGGTCCTTACGATTGACTGTAAGGAAATCTGAGACATTATCGGTTAAACCACACAATTAGGTTTGTTTGCATTCAATAGAAAATAAAATTATATTTAACAAATATTGTATTTCCTCCAATAATTAGAAAATAGAAAAACAAAGAAATAGATTAAGAAAATTGTAATCACTTTAGTAGTTATACATATAAGCAGAAAATAATTTGAAAAAAACAGAGAGAATAAAATATAATGTCACAAAAATAACATCGTCGGCATTTTTATTTTCTCCTCCGCTCGAATAACCAAAACCCACGAGAGCACTCCACAACCACGCACGCAAACACGCACCACACTGGTTACCACCCACAAAAAGGGTCGTCAGTTTCACACAAATTTTTTTTTTTTTCGTAGCCTTCTTGATCGTCATCCGCTGTCGTAGTTACCCTGCTAGTTTCACAGTTTTCTGCACTCACTATTATCATTTTCAAACACATTTGCACACCTGAATTTGAACAACATTTATAAATGTGAAACGAACTTTTTAAATTATAATAGAACTAGCTGACCCGGCAAACTTCATACCGCCGTAATTTTATTATGTAAATATGTGTTTTCGAAACCCCCAAAGTTAATGCTTCAAAATTAATGATTACCTCAGCTTCGCATGGGTGATAATGAAATGTAGAAAATAAAACGATTTCTGGTCTATTGAAATGCCTTGTAGTGTAAAATGTTTTTAGTTTTTTCTCCTGGAGCAAAAATATATAGCGCCGACGGTTTGACGACTCTAGAGCTTACGAGGTACAACTGCAAATGCAAAAAACATGGCAATTCAAGGTTTATTCCACACACTTCTAATGATTGCCTTGGGATTTATTAATCATCATTGCAAGTGCAAGGCTCACTGGAAACTGGACACGCATAAATTCGAAAGGAAAGTCTGTTGGCATCAGTGGTATTCTTGGAATAAGCACATCATCGCCTTTAAACTTTCCTATGATTATAGTCGCTTCAATCAAATTGTTCATAATTTTTTTAACGATAGTCTGGCTTCGTTGCACAATTTTGGTTCATTGAGATTTCGTAGCAAAATTACTACTGAGTCAACCTTGAGTTGTATATTGTGAGGCGGTAATCCATAAATTTAGGAATTCAGTTGATTAATTGACAACTTCATTTGGATCGGTAAAAGAATCGATGGACTTAAATGAATGCACTTGCCCATCAATTTGACTTTGAGTTTTGATATTCAAATCATCTACATCCTTATTTTTCGCAGCTAAAATGGCTCGTTCGCTGAACCAAGCATGGTTTTTGTTATTTATACCTTTATTTGGGAAAACTTTCGAAATTAATAAAAATTTGGGGGAAACGAAATAAGGCCAGTGTTAGTGTCAGCTTCAATTTTCCCATTGCCCATGTTTAGTGGCTTCGAAAATATTTCCGCCGATACGTCATGTTGTAACGCCACTCTCATATTCATTGTTACTTTTATATTTTTCACGTATTTCCACAAAATTGATGTTTTCAAGCAAGCATTTATTTCATCAGCAGCTGTTGATCTGGGAATTAATGGAAGCGTTTGGCGAAAATCTCCAGCCAGTAGAATCATCGCACCTCCGAAGAGTTTTCGATTGGCCATCGTACACTCATCCCAAATTATTAATCTACAATTTTGTAGCACTTTTGCCATTACATATGCTTTGGTTATATTGCATGTCGGTTGATCTATTGTTTACAAATTCAATGGCAATTTCAGTACAGAATGTGCAGTTCGTCCACCTTCTAATAATGTAGCAGCTGATGCTACTGCCAGTACTATCCGACTTTGTGCCCGAATCATATTTAAAATTAATTAAATTAAAAGTTGTTTACCAGTTCCACCTGGTGCGTCGAGGAAAAGGAATTCGCCATTGCCGGCATTTACTAATTTCATTATTGTATCGTAAGCTGTTTTTTGTTGCAGATTTAAAAGTAAGATTTTATTTTGTACGGATTGACTTAAAGCATTTATATCGTATGCCGTTCTCGTTCAAATTCACGATTGAGTGCATTTGACGTAAAATGTAAAGTTTTGTGGACTCGATGGAAAGCATGCTGAAATTATGATAGCAAAAAGTGATCGAGTCTTATGAGAAGTAGATGAAATAGCAGCATCAGCGAGTGTACCAGCATGAATATCATCCTCCAGTAAATGTAAACGTTGACAGGCTTCTCGACATGCTGCGCACAATTCACCATTGACGGTTCGTAGAAATTTAAATGAAATTGGTCCACGAACATTAACTAATAACAAACACAGGTAAAAACATTCGTCATTTCTCGGATGAACTGTGTAAATGCGCCCAAAGCATCGTTTTAATATAAATTTGCGTACCCCGATACAGGCTGTCCTTGCTTCCTATGTTGGAAATTTTTGGAAGATGCATTCCATGTTAAATATTTTGGCAATGAATAAAAAAATGTTCTTGCAAATCGATCACTTGCGCATGTCTCGAAGAAACTTGTGAGCGTTCGCTGGTGGTCTCTCAGCTGTTTGCGCTGCGTTTTCTGTTGTGAAATAAACTCTTTGTCCATTTTCCAGGTGAACAGCTAAATGGACTACGGTGGGATGGCGTTCGTGTATAGAAAATTAAAAGATTCTCCAAATCGCTTCGTTGCTACTAATATATCTTCCCATTTGATATTGTGAAACTTTATAGTTATTAGAGGCTGCAATACCAAACACAGCCATGTCGTTTCCTTTGGTGACGTCCTTGCAAACATTCATATTTAATTATCGACTTCACCGAATTGTAGTACTCAACATTGCAATGCGCCTTAAAGGTTTTGGAGAGCAGCGGTGAGCATTTGTTGCCTATCATACACGGTTATTCATGATTCTGTTCGCCACACGGTCCACGAATCATGTTCTTCTTTACTACTTTATACAATTGTGGATCTACTTCGGGATCAGAAATATCTGCACAAAACATTAAGTCTATTTCATCTGGTCTTATTTTTTCGACCATCCACAGGAGAATATGCGCACGAGGTAGTCCTCTCTTCTGCCATTCTATAGAGTACATCCAACATCGTACGTCTCCGAAGACATGATAGTTTACAATGAAGTCCATGAGCGCTTTGAATTTCTGCTTGAACACTCTTGCTATTATGTCGTGACGATCGCTGGATGACTGACCGTGTAATAACTGATTTGTTATTGATTGTTCTGGTCAACCGTATTGGCGCACATAGGTCATAGCATCTTGCGGGTATTCGTGCATGTGTCTCGGGCTTCCTATATATAATATGTTGCTGGTAAAATCGTAAGTCGACCGATATTATTTCCATTTCCATCTCTGTTCATGGCGTTGCGGGGGTGGGGTGGCGTACAGGGTGGCTGATGAAAGCCGCTACCAAAAAAAAATTAAACAACTTTTTTTCTATTTAATGAATCTGGGTAATTTTTATTTTATTTTGCAGATTGACTTTTACATTTAACAAAAATGGATAACTGGGACACTGAAACAAGAATTTGGATTGTCCGCCGCTATCACGCACTGGAGACCGTAGTTTCGGTTCAAAGAGAGTATAGGCGCACGTTTGGCGGCAATCCTCCGAGCAGATGGACCATAATGAGACTTGTAAATAATTTTGCCGAGCATGGGACAGTCAACAGAAGACCTTACCATCGAAACCCTTCACTTCGAACGGAGGATACAATCGCTGATGTAGCTGCTGCCATACAAAACAACCCACGTGTTTCGACAAGAAGCTTTTCTGCTCAAATACACTCATTTGACAGACAGTCATTACAGTCAATTATGCACAAAGATTTGGACTTATTCCCATATAAAATACAAATACAAATGCCCAACAAACTGAACGCTGCAGACTTGCCCATTCGCTTGGAATTTTGCCAGAAAATGCTTCAAATGGTGGAAAAGGATGGAAACATGTTGAACTGTCTTTTCATGTCTGACGAGGCCCATTTCTATTTAAACGGCAACATAAACAAACAAAATTGTCGAATATGGAGTGCTTCCAACCCACAGATACTCCATGAGACGGAATTGCATCCACTTCGTGTCACAGTGTGGTGTGCAGTTTCATCAAGCTGCATTGTCGGGCCCTACTTCTTCGAAGAAAACGGTCACATCGTTACGGTTACTGGAGACCGTTACTTGAGCATGTTGAGAGAGTTTTTCTATCCAGAATTACGCCGAATGAGAATTTCTTTCAACTCTGTGTGGTTTCAACAAGATGGTGCAGCTCCTCACATAGCCCAACCTGTTATGACAGAATTGCGACGAAAATTTCCCAATAAGCTGATATTCAGAAACTCCACATTCCGTTGGTCACCTAGGTCGCCTGACCTTACTGCACCTGACTTTTTCTTGTGGGGTTATTGCAAACAGGAAGCCTACAAAGCAAAACCAACAAATTTGAATGAACTAAGGCAAACCATTCGAGAAACAATTGCGGCTGTTCCTGTCTTAACTCTCCAAGCAGTAATGATCAACTTTTTGATAAGATGCCGCACATGCATCAACGAACAGGGGGGTAATCTAAATTCCATCATTTTTAAATCTAATTAAGCTATATTTAATAAAATTGAATGAGCTTTAACGTGAATAAAAGAAAAATGAACACTGAAAAAACAAAATTTTTTTTTGAGTTTCTTAATGTAGCAAAATTCATCAGCCACCCTGTATGTCAGACGTTCCGTTTCAACTTTAACATACATATCAACAGCAAACTGATGAAATAATCGACGGCACCTCAAAATATGGTTATTCTGGTTCAGACGAACCATGAAACCGTATACATAAAAATTCCTTGAGCAGACCTTTTTATTTCTTTCTTGACATGTAACAAAATAATCTACTTTACTTAGGAAGCCTTAGTTTTACTGTCAATAGAGGGTTATTTCTGCCATGAGCTACCAAATGTTGAAACATTCATTCAGTTATTAACACGAGCAATTTTTTTTAGTAAACTTGCATGTATTTCTTATTTTTTATTGCTTTGATACATACCAGTTGGTGAATTAATCATCTTGATTAAAAAATGGTATCCATCAATACCCTCTGTTATATGAACGATGGGTTTCACTAATACGCTGAAGGTTGCCACCATCACGCCGTTGAATTAGAATGTCTCGAGAGTCTATATTCTCTCCAACCACCACAATAGCAACTTCGTTTAACACAGGAGCATTGAAGCATCTTTCATGTTCACCAGCAGGTCTGCTCTGATTACTATTTTATGACCATCTGATGGCATCACTTCTAAGGCTGTTTTAAATAATTGAATTAATAGGTTATGTTCATATAATAGTTGTTGCAGTTGCACAATGATCTCTCGCCTAGTTGCTCGATTAATGCCACAGCGCTGATTTATTTCAGTTTCTGAATTTCCTAGCAAATAAATCTGAAGATAGTTGTATTCGCCATCAACTGATGGCAACAATGCTCCTGCATTGTGCTGAATTTGTCCTTGAATCTGTAATATTGAACATAACATTTTTAAAATAAGTTTTATTAGTAGTAGTAGTTTATTTAATATATTGTGCAGTTTAAGAGTACCCTACTTTCAACCGCATAATCAAACCAGCGTGTTGGTGAAATAATACAGTGTTGTCATCTGACTTTCATATCTATGTCTACTTATAGGTTGTTTGGATAACGGAAAGTAAATCAAATTTAACTTGCCAAGATGTGACTCAAACTAACAACATTATTCTTTATACATATACATATCATATACATAGGTGCACTGCAAATGAAATAAATCTTTTAAATTGTATGTTTTAGCCTCAACAGATTTTGACCATCTATGGTTATGTAGGTTTGTATATGATGTATGTGATAAAAGAAAATAAATACCTTAAAAGTTGGATTAAGTCCCCGTTCCTCAATTATGTTTGCACCAAATGATGTCATTTGAAACACACTGTTATACTTTTGAATACCCTGCAAGAAATGCTTTGATAGAGGTTCGTGTCCTAAATGTAATGAGTTCAGTGGTTCAGGTGGTGTTGTTAGTTGTGGCAACATAATCCTGACGGTTCTAGTGGAAACTCAAATGCATTGGAGTATTGACAAATAGAAGTCATTGTCCCAATATTGATTGATTCATCGCCGGCATAACCGACTTTTGGTTCATATCTAAACGCCAAACTTTCATAATAAATTGTACCGGTTGATCGTCTGCTTTGTAGCTCTCACTTCTGAAATTCGCACGCTGTTTGCCTCCAAACGCTGCCTACGCTGTTCATCGGTCGCATTGTTCCGTAGATTATGCACTCAACTTGCATTATGCGTGCCGACCGATATTGTGACGCTTTACTGGTGACATTTTCTTTTAAATAAATAACAAAACAATTAACTTCCAATACACAAAATACACTATTTTGCTTTTGCAAAAAAACTGTAAATAACTAATATAAATAGTTTTCTTATAAATAACACCACGAAAAACCTAAAGCAACAGCTGAGAGGTACCCATGGAGAACTGTCAAGGGGAGTCTGGCATTATGTTATTTTCTTAAAACTTTTGGGAAAGTTGTCCCAAAGAAATTGATTATATGTAAAACTTTAATATTTTTTCAAAATAAAATCATTCTATATTGATGCATATTCTTAAAGGCGCAAGTGTTATTAGCAAATATAAGAATAATTAAATTTTATATTTATGCCTCTTTTTAACTTTGGTAAATTAATAAATGTTCACCACAGAAAAATGTTGGGTGCAAATAAGCAACGGGATCCAGAAAATTGTTGTTCAACGAAACTGGAGACATATTTATAAATTTGCTCCTGATAAAACTGCAAAAACCTCAATTAAAATCAATGAATATAKCATATTAGTGCATATAAGGTAATACTACATTTCAAAAATTCATTCGTCTGTCCGCTTTATAATATTTAAATATGTTGCCAGTATTGTAACAGTGTTGTCTAAGCTAATTTTAAACTACTTATTAGGAAAAAGCTATACCTATACTATAAAGATATGGAAAATTAACCAAATACTTTATTCARGAAATCTACATATTTATAATCTAAACCTAAAACTATATATTAATATAGTAATTTTTCTATGTAAAGAGTTGTAAATAAAATATTGTACATATTTGCAKCGCTAAATGCTGAAATACTGAGACTGCTACCGTATAAAACGGTTAGACCAAAGGAAAGTCAACAAATATTTTATGCCGACTATATTTGAAAACGAACCCTAGAACTATATAATAATAATATGGTAATTTATTTTATGTAAAGAGTTKTTAATGATATATTGTAAATATTTACGTTACTTGACGCTGAAATATAAAACGGAAGAAATAATTGTGGTTAATAAAATTTATACTTACATTATATCGGCTCTAAAATTTAATCCTATTACATCTTACAATGTTAAATATTTTTATTGTTCAAATGAATTATTATAACCTATAATATCAAATTATGTTATAATATAATATATATTTCTTCCGGTACCCTCTTAGTAAAATTGAACTTTCGAGTTTGTCCGTGAATATGTTAATTAAAACGCTTAAAAATATGTATATCGCACATTTATTTATATCAAAATGGTATAATATAATTTTTTATTAACAACATTAAAAAACATTCCATAGCCAAAATTGAAAATTGTTTTAAACAATTATTACAGAATTTTATGCTTTTTGCAAACCGTTTTGACCTCTCGTCGCCCTGACTCACCATGATTCACCAGAGGCGGCCATGATGGTTTTATTGTGAACGTACACTTGGGGGGTAGGATTCTACTGTGAATGGTCAATCTGTCAATGCTGTGTCAATATATTAAGGAGTGCTCTCACACTATCTTCTGTCTCATTTACATATTAATTTCTTTTAAATGCCTTTTTTAATACTTCACTGTTTAATTTTTTATAATTTTCAAACATGCAAACCTTGTCCTGACAATAACAAACACATTAAAAAAAGAATTATCAAATTTTGTTCAATTTATATTATGAGTTATGAGAATCTTAGAATTGCATTAAAGAGCAAAGAGAGCACCTCTACATTTTGGTATCTCAATTAGCATGTTTGTGTGATATCATCATGTCCTGGCGACTATTTTGGATTCCACTAATATCACAGTGATGTCTTCAAAATTCGTTAGCTGTGTTGGGTAATCTGGATAGCTGAAAGTTGTTCTTTAAGCAATAAGGTTGAAATACCTTTTCTACGTGATTTCGCAAAATTATTAACTGAAGTCTCATATAGATATGTTGGACTGTTTGACTGGTTGTTTTATGGACTTTTTGGATTTCTAAAAGGAATTTAGCTTGCTGGACATAGCTTCTTTATATACGTTTAAGAGATTTCAATTGAAGCTGAGTGGAAGGGGAGCGATTTGTCGTCATTCTCGCCTTGTGCACTTTTTTTTTCATTTAGAATATTTTCAATTTCACTATTAGTAAAATTGTTTCTAATCGTAAGATGAGTTTCTGACGATAAGTTCCAATTTATGTTGGTTAACACCGTTAGCATTCCATATACATATATTCAGTACGCTCATTTGGTTTTCATAGTTGTAACAACACACTTGTTAACTTCACTACAAGTGCCTGTGCTTTAACTATCTCCAATGGCCCCCGGGCCACCAAATTTGGGGGGCAATAGGTTCGCTTTATTAGCTGAATGTCCCCAAGCCAACGTAAAAAAACAATATATAAACCCCTGATTTTTCTCGAACTACCTAAAACTAAACAGAACAATCCAAAATTCCTTACTATTTCAGCAAGTGATTCAACAAAACCAATATCGAAATACTCTTGCAGTGCATAAAGCATTGGAAGCTATAAGCAAAGAAATAATCTCAATTTCTGAGCTACGGGATGGTAATTTGTTGTTGCTGGTAAAAAATCCAACAATTGCACAAAAGTTTTTAAATACAAAGCGATTGAATGGAATTTGTGACGTGAAAGTAAGTTATCAAGACAACCTTAACTTTTCAAAAGGTACAATATTTGCACCATGCCTCAATAATGTAGCTGAAGACGAAATTATTGAAAACATGAAAGAGCAAGGTGCTGTTGGAGTGTATAAATTCAAATAGAAGGTGGACAATACCTTAGTTCACACCGGAGTTACCCTTCTTATATTCCATTTATATCAACTACCTAGTAAAGTGGAGGTTTCATGGCGCTCAGCGCGTGTAAGACCATATTTTCCCAATCCAATGAGATGTAAATCATGCCAACTCTTGGGGTATACCATTAAAAGGTGTAATAACAAACCTGCGTGTGAAACTTGTAATTTCCCCCCTCACGGATCAGTACAATGTTTGCGCACCTTATGCGCTAACTGCGCTGGTGAGCACCCATCATATTCAAATACTTGCCCTAGGTACATCCAAACTAAAGAGATTCTAAAAATTAACACTGTCCACAAATGTACGATGCGTGAGGCTATAAAACTACATAAAGCACAAGTGCCCAGCCTTCCAAACACCACTTTTGCAGAAAAAGTAAAACAAACCATATCAAAGAATTACAACAACTCAAAACTTCCTACAACACATTCCATTCATATACCTTCCGAATCTAATAAAACTTCTTCCGAAGTACCTCATAATGAGACTGTAGAGACAGAGAACTTAAAACATAGAGAAGGTGCAGGTTCGATGTCGAACATTTTATAAGATTGTGATAGGGAACTCACCTCACAACCACAGAATTCACGCTGCGAAATGTTTTTAACAGTTCTCCACATACTCAAACAGAGAATGTGAAGAGAAATAAATATATGTATTATCGGCCTATAATGACATGCCATATATGCCCAAGCAGAGAATATTGAAGAAAAATAAGTTCTTTGATATTCCATAGGAAATATGTTCCATTATGTATGGAAATATGTATGTAGAATTTTTTTTATTTTTGATTTATTATTTTTCAAATTATTTAATGAGAAATTCTGAAAATCGTGTTTTATTAAAATTATATTCTCTTATGTATTTGTACATATATTTCTAATAAAATGAATTTTCTTTTTACTTTTCATTGTAGTTTATTAATTAATTGAAATAAATTTACATGTATTTTCATTTTTATTTAATTTTCAATAAAATTTTAAAAATGAATTGTCGTCATTGTCTATTTTATTTTATCACGCATTTCAGTAGATTTTTGAATACACATTTGACCGGCGAATAAGCAAAATGCGAAGCAATCATGTCGTTTGCACATTTTTCTGTATTTTTGCGAAAGCAAATGTTCAACAAAAGCATATTTCTAGACTTAAACAAAATTATTTGAACCATCGTATATTTCTATCATGTATAACCCAACCATAATTGGGACAACGCAATACAAGTGTCGATAGTGGTATTGGTGGTAAGCGCTTGAAAGTCGAGATGAGCACACAGGTTCGAATTTCGGCAGAWTGTATTCTAAATTTTTGCCTTTTATTCTTCCATGAGAATAAATTGTAAAATAAGAATTTTTCATTATTTTGTCATTTTTGTTGAGCTGCCGGCACTTTTGCAACATTTCTTTTAAGCAGTTTTGCCATCCTGGTGAGAAATAGTTTATGGGCAGCGACGCTTGTGCGGGAAGATGTGTTGATACCTATGTTGTTGCTGTTTTTGCTTCATTCATATTTTAAATATTTTTGTAGCCACATACACGTGTTTCTTTGTTTGGCTGAAGTCATATTTATAATAATAATAATACCCAACGATTACCCTCCTCCCGCCCAACCGACGAGAGGGGCGCAATCCGCGAACGAGCGGAATTAGCCGAGTCATAAAAGGCAAGAGAGTTTTAAGCGTCGCGATCTTAAGCTGCTCAGCTACAGAAACAAAAATTTCAACAGTCAAAATTAAGAATTAGATTAAAGTTTATAATTTTTAAACGTTACTTGTTAAGAGTAGATAAAATATTTTTTTAATGGTAAAGAGAGAATCTGTT